ATTGTAAATGTGAAAAAAACGACCTGTATTTATTTACACATTTTGATTTTTACTCCCTTTTTGAGTTAACTCATAGAGGGACTAATTAAATGAATAGTCACATAATCAAAATGTACAGGGTGGGAAGAAAAGGGGAAGAGGGTGCGGTATTCCTTTGTACATTGAGCACACAAGCTTATTTCTATTTTGTTTCCTGTTTTCTTTGTGTATATATTTCTACGTTTCATAGTACTGTTTTTTGTTTGTTTTGTATATTTTTTGTGGCGATACGCGGCTATACGAGCTATGACTGGCGATAGAGTTTCTTACGTTGTCAGTATTTTCCGTTGTTATCCTCTGTTCATCTGCAATAAAATCGAATGCAAACTAAACTGTTACGAGTCAATAACTTTTTTCGAAGTGGCATTCCCTCGAAATACACGGAACCTGCGCAGAACTTACCTCCCTTGAGTCGGGGTACTGGTCCTCAGCTGGTTGAGTCTCTCCGCCAAAAATCGAACACTTGACTTGACTAACCACGAGGCCTCTTTTGGCCCAAGGGTTTCGGTCCGGCCGGAGCCGTCCGGTTCCACTGGGGCACGATGCCGAGCACACATGCTGATCCCGGTCTTCGTCGGCAAACCCAGTGTCCTCAAAGATGAAAGCTAAGTGGGTTCCCGAACCCTTGGCAACATTCACGGAAGGGGTTAGCCGCCGTGTACGTTCCTCGGGGGAGGCTCAGGCTGCAGGGGCCCTAGAAGAGTAAGATGTACAGTGGTCCTACCGTTACGCTGGCTCGACTGGGACTGCCTGCTCAGCCGCCCCTGTTGCTGGGGCCGCCTCTCGCTCCAACTTGCGCGGCTTCGCCTCCTCTCTGGAAACCCAAGTGTGTACTTATGCAGAATATTCTGTGTACTTGGCAAGTACACAGAATATTGTGTGTACTTAGCAAGGTACACACGAAAACCTCCATACATTTATGCAGGAGACTTAGTGTGTACTTGACCAAGTACACACAATATTCTGTGTACTTGGCAAGTACACAGAATATTCTGCATACATGTAGGTATGCAGAATATTCTGCATTCAAGTACACACTTGGGTTTCCAGAGCTGCCGCGCGGTCTCGTAGGGGTCGGGCTGGCTCTCGAGGGCGCGGGTGGAGGCCCACCACTCGTCTCGTTGCTGCGCTGCCTCCTTCCAGTCGGCGATGTGGAGGGAGCAGGCGTCTTGCGCGACTTGGTCGAAGAGACGCTAGCGTGCTGAGCCGCGGTACATGGGTATGCACACTACGTGCATTCGGCATGCACACTTATTTGGTACATGCGGATTCATGGATAGGCATGTTGTTTTTGTGGGCAGCAAAAGAACACGTGGGCATGCCATGCACACTCTATTCAAACAGTGTGCCTAGCTATGCACACTGTTCAAACTGTGAGCTTGCCTGTGACACAATTGAAACAGGTAACAGGAGATATCTTAGGTGCCTACACGCATCTTGTCCTTGTCTATAGTACCACGTCCCACTGGACAGAAAAAAGTCAAAGTGATGTCATATGACGTCAAGAGGGTCATTTTTATGTCATTTTAACATCATTTTGATGTGAAACGACACTCTTTTGATGCAAAATGATGTTCAAATGACATCAAAATGACCCTCTTGACGTCATATGACATCACTTTGCGTTTTTTTTTCTGTCCACTGGGGCCAGGCGCCCTCCACGCTATACGCAACTCATACGTATTTGAATAGGAGGAACGTTTTAAATTTTTCATCAAAGGAGAAACTTAAAAATGCTATGTTGTTCTTTTATTATTTTTTTGTACCTTTGGTTTAAGTCGTGGATGGACCGATAGAAACGATAGTAATAAATCACAAACTGTTCAAAATAAATAAATAAATTAAATACTGCAAAATATTCAGTCTTTGAATCGTGGCACAGCACAAAGAATAAGAGTTGGACACTCATTATTTTGTATGTCTACACTACTTCTTAGGTATTTACGTATTTGTCTTGATTAACAACTAATTGTGTATTCATGATAAACATGATATGAATTACATCAACAAAAACAGGATTTGTTCGTTTTCCTATACTATGTCTTAAATAAAACCCTCTGATGAACTTGATCAGATCTGATTGGTAACTGATGGTAATTAACTAAATTTACAAATAAATTATAGCCGCAATAAACTTTTTGCAACTTTACAGGCACCATTTCCCATTAATTAGTTGCTGATTCTAATATCTCACTGACACCAAATGCCTAGTTTGATGTCTCTAATTCAATTCTAGAATGCTTTAAGGCATTCTAAATACTTTTTTGTTCACACAGCAGAGCTAGGCAATACAGTCACCAAGAATTTCTTTTCTGGAAGAATTCCTCTTCAGTCTAACCTTTCAGGAATGAGAAATAATTGAATGTTCCCTTCCTCGTTTAACTCAAAAACTGCCAATGAAACTATGAGGTACCCTGCTAGATCCAGTACAATTTGTAAACATGTCTAAAATTCGGATTTCAATTCCCAAAACAAACATAAAACATCATATAAAAAGAAAACACAGACGTATGGAAGAAACTAAAACAACATCCCTCAACATGAAATGTAGGCGGAAGGCGTTAATGATTACAGCGACATGTTTTTTTCTCGGCTTGCTGACCTCAGAGAGTTCGGTTGTGCCCGCGGATGTGCCAGGTCGCACCCCTGCCCCTGCCCGAACCTCTGCCCCTGCCCCGGTCCGCAGCCGTGACCGCAGGAGTGGTGGTCGCGCCCCTGCTGGACCGGGTCCTGACGGGCTTCACCGTGGCCAGCCCCCGCCGCAGGTGGAGCTGCTGGGGCTGGATGCGCTGTCGGCGCAGCAGCTGGTCAAGCTTGATGGAGGCCAGGAGCGGGGACGGACTGTCCCCCGGGTCGGGCGTGGGCCCCGGGGCCGCGGCTAACGGCCGGAGGGCCCGCGGCTCATCCGGAGGGAGCCCCAGCTCGAGGTCGGGAGTCACCACGATCTGCTGGGGAGGGGCGGCCTCCCGAGTGCCGGCCGCCTCGGTCTGCGGCGCCTTCGCCAGCCTCTGGGGCCGCTTACGCGGCAGAGCCCTGGGCTCCAGTGCCCGCTCTTTCCGCTGGGACATCATGGCCCTCTGCTTCATCACGATGTGCTCCGGAACGGACTCCACTCGCCGGACCGTCTCCAAGCGCGGCAGCGCATGGTGTGTGGAAGGGCGGGGTACGGGCCGGGGCTGCGTAGCAGGCTGCGGGGGAGGCCGGGCCAGAACGAGCCGTAGATTCGCTGGGGGTGGAGACAGAAGATACGCTCGGGGTGCAGCCAGGAGATTCGCTCGGAGTGTAGGCTGCGGAGCCACTGGGGGTGGAGACAGGAGATCCGCTCGGGGTGGAGATGGAGGATCCGCTCGGAGTGGAGGCTGCGGAGCCACTCGGGGTGGATGCTGTGGAGCCACTCGGGGTGCAGACAGGAGATCCGCTCGGGGTGGA